GAAACACTGGCTGTAAAAATTGTTTCCCAGCTTTCTGCTTCCCTTTTAATCTTGGTTGCATTGGCTTTGTTTGTGCAAAACCTTTTCAATTCAATGCAATCAAAATCACCCATTTTGCATTTCTTAATGTTCTCTGTCTCTTGTTTGGTCATAAATTCTTCCCTTCTCCATAGATCTATTCTAGCTCAACTATTCCTTGCTCTCCAAGTTTGCTTATAGTATCAGCCTTTATGTCTAAATCATGTAACAATGAATGCATCTCAATGGTGTATGCCACACTCCACATCCCCAGTCCTCATCTTCCTACTGAGAGGAAGAAGAAATGTTTCCTAATTAATTTTCCAGAACCAAACTGAATCATTTATGAGTTGACATTTGAGCCTGTGAGTGTAATGAAAGTGAGAGGGTATGAAAGAGAGAGAGAGAAAGAGAGAGACAGACAGACAGACAGACAGAGAGACAAAGAGAGATAGAGAAAGAGAGAGACAGAGAGAGAGACAGAGGCAGAGACAGAGACAGAGAGAGAGATAAAGAGAGACAGAGACAGAGACAGAGAGACAGAGACAGACAGAGAGACAGAGATAGAGACAGATAGAGACAGAGACACACACACAGATTCTAATCAGCCATTTGCCCTTGCTTAAAAAAACAGATACCTTTGAAATCTGGCCAGTTTGGCACTCTGATCGGACTCCTGGCTCCACATACCTGTGACTCCCAAGTGAGGATACGTCAGTCCACCATTGATGTCATCTGCTGCCTTTTAGACCTCCAGGGTAAGAAGACAAGAAATCAGCTGGCTTCTACTCTGCTCAGGTTGGGGAGGGTGGTGAGTGGAAATTCAAAAGATTGTTGGATGTTGGCCCTACCCTTAGGGAACTTACACTCTTACTGAGGAGTGAAAGCAAAGATACATATACATATACATATACATATATATATATATATATATATATATATATGAGTTCCAAAATCTCTCCATCCTTCCCTTCCTCTTGAGAACGCAAGCAATTTGATACAGTTTATACATGTGCAATCATGCAAAATATATTTCTTTATTAGTCATGTTGTGAAATAAAACAGAGCAAAAACACTAAAAAAAAAGTGAAAAATAGTATGCTTGCATCTGCATTCAGACTCCATGAGTTCTTTCTTTGGATGTGGATAGCACTTTTCATCACGAGACTTTTGGAATTGTCTTAGATGATCGTATTGCTGAGAATAGCTAAGTCATTCACAGTCGGTCATTGTACAATACTGCTGTTACCATGTATACTATTCTCCTGGTTGTAATCTTTTCACTTTGCATCAGTTCATATACGTCTTCCAAGTTTTTCTGAAACCATCCTGCTCATCATTTCTTACAGCACAGTAGTATTCCATCACAATCATGTACCACAATTTGTTCAACCATTCCCCAATTGCTGGGCATCCCCTTAATGTCCAGTTCTTTGCTACCACTAAAAGACCTGATATAAAGATTTTTGTACATATAGGTCCCTTTCTTTTTTTTTTTTAATTTCTTTGGGATACAGACCTAGAAGTGGCATTGCTGGGTCTAAGGGTATGCACAGTCTTATAGCCCTTTGCGCAAAGCTCCAAATTGTTCTCCAGAATGGTGTGATCAGTTCGCAACTCCACCAACAATCCATTGGCGTCTCAATTTCCCCACATTCTCTCTATCATGTCATTTTCCTTTTTTGTCATATTAGCCAATCTGATAGGTGTGAAGTGGTACATTAGAGCTGATTTAATTTGCATTTCTCTAATCAATTTAGAGCATTTTTTGTATGACTATAGATAGCTTTGAATTCTTCTTCTGAAAACTGCCTGTTCTTATCCTTTGACTCTTTACCAATTGGGGAATGACTTGTGTTCTTATAAATTTGACTCAGTTCTCTATGTATTTGAGAGATGAGGCCTTTATCAGAGACACTGGCTGTAAAAATTTCCTCCAGTTTCCTGCTTTCCTCTTAACCTTGGCTGCACTGGTTTTGTTTGTGCAAACCCTTTCTAGTTTAATGTAATTAAAATGACCTGTTTTATGTCTCGTAATGCTCTCTATGTCTTGTTTGGTCATATGTTCTTCCTATATAGATCTGACAGGTAAAATAGTCCATGCTCCCCTCATTCACTTCTGATATGACCCTTTATGTCTAAATCATGTCCCCGTTTTGACCTTCTCTTGGTGGATGGTGTGTGTGAGATGTTGGTCAATACCTAGTTTCTGCCAAACTGCTTCTAGTGGAATTTACAAAGACAATACAAGATCCTGGAGTTCAGAGGTGGGAATTCTCACCATGGGCAGCAGTAGTTGGGCCAGGCTGTTGGGAAGGGGAGAATTAACTTCTCTACGTGCCTTCAAACTCTCCTCTTTCTGCTGTTTATTTTGCCAGTTATTGTCTCAATCTGAGTCAGTCAGTCAAACATTTATTAAGCACCTAGTATGTGCCTGGCACTGGGCTAGGCCCTGGGGTAGAAAGAAGAAAATATGAATTCGTCTCTGACCTCCATGAGCTTAGATTGCACCTGGGAGGTGGGGGATCCAGCAGGTAAGTAAGAACTGACAGTTTGAGGAGGGAGGAGAGCCCACGGGCCACTCAGGGGAGCAGGAGTGTGAGGCAAGTCTCTCATAGGGCCTGGGATTCCTGGAGGGGGAGGGGGGCCGGGAAGTCCCCAAACCTGGATGCTGCTGGGCCGAGCCCTGGGAAGCGGCTGGGGGTGATGCGAAGACGTCCTGGATGCAGTTCTCTGCCCTGGACTGGTTTGCAATGTGGGGGAGCAGACGTGGTCTTGTGGAGTGTCTTCATGGTCCTTTCGAATCGCAGCCCGGCCCTGGTCCATCCGGGACACGGTGATGGAGAAGCTGCTGCTGGACGTCAAAGATGACCTGAAGACGACCGACATGGAGAAGATTTACTCCCTGTCCTCCAAAATCGCCAAGGTGACTAAGGCTGGCGGCGTGTGCTCGGTGCAGCGTCTGTCCCCGGCGGGGAACCGGTGCTGGACCTCTCAGCCTGGTTCTGAGTGCGTGGTGCTCCCTGTGCGCTGGCTGGCAGTGGCAGTGTGGGGCTCCTCGGTCCTCCCAAGGGTGCTGCTGGCACTACCACCACCACCACCACTGCTGCCACTGCTACTACTGCCACCACCGCTGGCACTAATACCACCATTGCCACTATTGCCACCAGCCACGACTGCTACTA